GAGGTGCCCAAAAAATGGAACAATACTATAATCATCCTTTTGCATAAAAAAGGAGAGAGAACGGATCTAGAAAATTACAGATCGATCAGCCTGTTAAACCACATACACAAGCTCTTTACTAGGTTAGCGACATCAAGATTCAAGAAAAAAATAAATTTCTACCAATCGAGAGAGCAGGCAGTATTCCGTTCAAATTATGGTACCAATGATCACCTTCATACAGTAAAGACACTCATTGAAAAATCTATAAATATTTTCGATTACAATGTCTTTCATAGGTTTTCATAAAGCGTTCGACACGATTAGCGACAATGAGAGCAGAATTGACCATACGTATAGTGAACTTATTTACAATATTTACAATAATGCCACTATGACAGTTAAGATACACGATGAAACCCGAACAATAAAAATAAAATATGGGATAAGGCAAGGAGATACATCGTCACCGAAATTATTCAAAACGGCATTAGAATATGCCTTTAAGATGGTCAATTGGGGCCACAGAGGAGTAGCAATGGACGACGAAATGCGAAACTGAAATCTCCGTTTCGCAGATGATATTCTGCTTATTACGAAGAATTTAGGAGAAGCCACAGATATGTTAAATGAATTAGACTTTACATGTTTGAAGGTGGGCTTCAGAATGAACTTGACCAAATTTAAGATTATGGCAAATATGGTCCCCAATAACGATTTAACTATTTAAGACAAAGTGGCAAAACTGATGGAGAAATATACGTATTTGGGTCATGAAATAAGAATCGGAGGGATAACCAAACATGCGAAATCCAAAAACGAAACGAAGATCTGCGAAAAAGGACGAGTATGTAGTGAAACGCATAGTGGAACTAAACTGGAACTGAGCAAACCATGTAGCGAGAATGGACACTCACGATGGACGAGCAAAATTACAAATTTGAGTCCAAAAGCAGACAACATATTGACAACATATACACGTTTGTCCGTAAACCCTTTGTTTCCGAGATACCAAGTGTTGAACTTTTTCTTATAAAAACTGACGATTTAATTACTGCTCTCTAACCGTTTGAGATATCTGTTTTTTTATTTGAAATATCTAAATAATAAAAAAATTAGCCATATGCGCAATAAAAAATATAGCGCGATAAAAAACGCGCAATAACTATCTCTTAAAACTCATCAAATTTCACTGGCATATCTCAACCAGTTTTAAAGCAATCAATAAATCGCCAGTTTGTAGGAAAAACTTCAACACGCTGTATCTAAAAACGAATCATTTGCGGACGTATGTTTAGACAGATCACGACATTGTTTTATGGACCATACAACACAATGGCAATCGCTGTGACATGTTACACGTTTCCACCTCTATATTCATTTCAAAGTAGGTAAGAATTGTTGTAATTGTCACATTCACATTAAAAATTTTAAACGAAATTCTGAAAGAATAAACAGATAATTATTAAAATGCCTATTACGTTGTATACTGTCCAAGAAAAAGTGCAACTTGTAACATAATACTTTCAGGGTCATTCTATACGCGAAGTAATTGATTTATTTATTGTTGTCTTTAAAAATAGACTCCCATCAAGTGTTACAACAGGTAAAAATACCATTAAATATTTTCAAACTTCGAATGTGTAAACAGTTGAAAAAAGTGTCATAAAAGTGATGAACCACGTGTTAGACCTGTCGATGAGGAGCGTCAAAACATTGAAATACTGATACAGTGCGTTAAGTTTTTGATTAGGTATTGCACACTATACGGAGCGCTAAAATCAGCAACGTTGCAAATATTCGGTCTCCGACCCGAGACTATCTGCACCGACAGAAAATCATTTTAGTTTAGTAACTCACAACAACGTTTGGGATGTACTTCTCTGTCGTCCGATCTCATGTTTCTTTACGTATAGCCGATTTTGATAGTAGGAAATTCGATAAAAATGCACTGACCTAATCGGTGCATTGTTATCGATTTTTATTAATGTGAAAATTTTTTGTGGTTGTTTGTGAAAATTTTAATACATACAACGTATGTATTAAAAACGGCATAGGTAGGAGTGGCTAACGATAATACCAATATGGCGGTGACATCAGTCTCAATCAGACTCAATAATAATAAAACTACTATACAAATATGACTAGTTATTCAGAAGATTTAATCATAATCTAAAAAAGTGCAATACATTTTTAATAAACTATGATTTATTTATCCCGCGGTAAACATTAAAAACACGATATATTATAAAAAGATAAATTAATACAGTCAAATAGTAATAATTTATTCTCTGAAGTACGGGACATTTCTTTGTTTACATATTTGTATACTAACCGGTGGAACGATATTCCTGAGGATTTTTTATTAACATTACTTCTGCTACTGCAACTACGTTGAGAACAAGAAACCATTGTTATGCACTATCACAATATATTACAGTTTCTATAAAATTATTATAAAACTAAAAATATTCGAAAAACAACAAATATAACCAAACATATACGATCTGTCAAAAGTTTCAAAACAATAATACCAATGTGGCCGAAGTTAGGTCGTTTTTAGTCACGTGATGCCCTCTCCATAGATTCTAACTCGATGAGATAAAATAAAAAATATACTCTTATTGAAAATTAAAATATTATTCCTAATAAAATAAAAAATAATTCTTTATGACCTACAGAAATGGTTCAAATAGTTGACCTTCTACGGCTGAACAGTACCCCAATCTGTCATAAAAACTTCTGCGAACAGATGAAAGAGTTTCTGCTGTAACAGAATTGGAGACTTCTCTTATTCGATTTTTTAATTCGTCCAAATTTTGGGCTCTAGCCTTAAGGATGATCGTAGATAATGCTTACTAAATGTCCCCAAAAAAAGAAGTCCATGGGTGTAAGATCTAGAGATCGCGCAGGCCACTTAATATCGCCTGTTCCACTGATAACTGGATTCGGGAAAGTATTGTTTGAATTTTTCCTAATAATTCGAGCGTTGTGAACTGAACAGCCGTCTTGATGAAACCAAACATTCTCCAGATTTACATCAGGAAGATTGAGAATAGCGGGAAGAACATGATTCTGTAACAAATCAAGGTATATATTCAAGTTACCCTCAATAAAAAATAGACCTATTATGTGGTCTCCTAAAATGCCAGTCCAGACGTTAACTTTTTGAGGACGTTGAGTCCGGTAAACAACACTTCTGTGCTGGTTTTCCCGCGCCCAGTACCTCGTAATGGAAGGATTGTGTCTCCCTACTAACGAAACAGAAGATTTATCAGTGAATAAAATATTTTTAATAAAATTTGGTTCACTATTAGCTTTCGTTATTACAGTTTCACAAAACTTCATTCTTCGAAAGTAATAGTCTCGATAAAGCTGCTGCGTTTTCGAATATTTAAAATTCTTGTAACCGTGCTTTTTCCATACTTTCGTTACAGTAACATTGCTAACATCTAACTCTCTAGTAACGCTTCTACTTGAACGTGTTGAATCTACCTCGATTGTTGCACAAATTTGTGTATCCCGGTATTCTCTTTCCTCAACTTTTTCTGGTAACACTTCTTGAGCGTGACATTTTCTGCAATTTTTGAGACAATAACAACTCTCAAAATTTTTAACAATATTATAAATTGACTGTACACAAGGAATTGGTCTTCCCTCAAAAAACACAGAAAATAAATCTACACACTGTTGCGCAGAATTGCCGCTATAAAACCATTTTATTATTTAAGCTTTTTCCGCGACCATATAAACAGACATGTTTACAAAAATAAATTAAAACTCTACGCTGGTATACCTTTAAACAACCACGGTATAATGGCAATATGACAAATTTGCCGACGGGCGACGAGCAACGACGAGTCAACGAAGCAGATATGTAGTGGCAAATCGACGACGCGCAGTGTTGCCATTTATAGGTGTATACCTAATCCAAAACTTAAAGCACTGTATTTGTGCTTTGGTGGAAGCTAGTGAACCCTGCAATAGTGTACAAATTGCTAGGAAAGTTAACGTGAATGCGAGTTTCAAAAGAAATGGGTATTACTGTTTTAAGATACCACCAACACAAGAACTGTTTACAGAAGATAACTTTAGGCGGAGGGAGTTTTGTGAATTTATGTTAGATAAACAGAATAAAAATGTACACTTTTTAAAAAATATTTTATTTTCTTACGAATCTTCATTTTCATTACATAAAAAACACAATCCATCCATTGCAAGGCAATATTCTCGGAAAAATGAGCACCTCAGTGTTGCAGTGCGAACGCAGCATCCGGAAAAGTTAAATGTTTGGACTGGGATGTTAGGTAACCATACTGTCGGTCCATTTTTTATCGATCGAAACCCAAATGGGCCCAAATATTACCGCCTTTTTGTTAATTTTCAGAAGGTTTGTTTCCAACAGGATGGGTGTTCGGCTCACAACTCTAGGGCAACCATTGACTTCCTCAACCAAACGTTTCCTAATCGCTTGATACGTACACGTGGTACAATTAAATGGCCCGCTAGATCCTGTGACTTACCTCCTAACGAGTTATTTTTTGGGGTTTTTTTAAAGAAAATATTTATAGGCATCAGTTTGAAAGGGCCACAAACCTAGTAGAATTAAGGGCAAACATACTTCATTTCTCTGCAAGCATCACACCAGCCCTACTCCAAAATATGAGGAGAAATCTGTATGACAAATTTGGTTACTGTTTATCACAAGAAGGTGAAATATTTCAAACTATCAATATTTTTTTATATGCAGCACTATAATAATTGTGCCGCAAATTCACTTATAATATTTTTCTTGACTTTCTCGTAATTTTTTAAAAAACTATAAGACTATTTTATTAAATTTAGTTTTGCTTACTGTAGTAGCAACTAGAAATAGAAAAAAATATTCACAGTACAACACCTCTTTCTGATAAATTTGATTTTATCGGTATTTCAATAAAATCTTAATATAAAACATTTGCGTTCTTGGAATTGCTTTAGAATCGTTTTTCTATCTCATTTTCCATTATCTGCCTTTCTAGAGCGCCCCATACGTCATGCTGAAAGAAACTAGTGAAAAACTGTCCGGAAACGCACAATTCGAGGGGTACGCAGTCGACTTGATCCACGAGATATCCAGAGTATTGGGCTTTAACTACACCATCAGATTGGTGCCAGATGGGAGACACGGATCGTTGAATCGAGAGACCAAAGAATGGGACGGACTTATCAGGGAATTGCTGGATCAAAAGGCGGATTTGGCGATAGCGGACCTTACGATTACGTATGACAGGTGAGCAATGTTCGTTTCAAAATATAGGATATAAGTTTATAAAAGGGAGATAAAAATTTATATAACGTACGCGAACAGTAACGTAATCTGATAATATTTCGAATGCTGATAGGTTTACAAAAGAGGTTTTCTGAAAATAATATATTTGAATAAATAAAGTTATAGAGGATTAATTACAAGTGGTAAACGACAAGACATGTCGAAAAGGTTTTATCTTTGGAAGGAATAAACCTAAAATTGCGAAATTTTGAGATACTAAATGACATTATATTTTGCATGTTTTACAAGATAGCTCAATTTTGTAGGCGTCATTGTTTTCAGTATCGCCGCAATCCTGATTTTTTTAAATAGCAACTTCTTTTCAAAACTATATAATAGTAACTTAATAACACTAACAATAATCAATAATTAACCAAATAACTGAAAAAAACTTTTTTTAAAATATTCAATTGAACTGAATTACAGTGAAAGTGGTGTGGTAACAATGTGTTATATTCCATTCCACGAATATACGACTGTTTTAAATTCGGTTTAAGGTCTCTATTTGAATGGTCCAATGTGCTGAATTGTACAATAGTAAATTCTCCCTATTTTTAAAATAAAGTTATGACTTAAAATTTAAATATGAAGTCATGATATAAATATAGAGTTGATAGTTTATAGAATAGTTATAATTTAGATTTTGAAGTATATAATTACTATCATTGATTTTAGTATTGTAAACAAGTTGTTTTTTGAATTAAGTGATATAAACGAAGTGTAACAATACTTAGGTGGTTAAATAGTGTAATTTATTTAGTCGAATATTTAATTAGTATTAAGAAAACAAAAAAAAACTTACTTATTCTCTTATTCTCCTATTCTCCTAAAACTATCATCAACCATCAGATTCACAGAAGTTCACCATAGGAAAGTACATTAAATACAAAGTTTACATCTAAAACACGTCTCGGCGTTTTTGGCTTCAATAAACAAATACACTACACTAAAATCTTTCTTAACGGCACCTTTCTTCATCGACACCTCTATACGGACAGTTTTTAAAACTAAAATCAGTCGGCGATATATGAAACTGTATATAAATGTTCGTTACTTTTTAATATCTGTAACGACTCGGTACTTCAACTATCAATAGCCAGTATGTTATACCCTTTACTTTCGGAACTTTTAAGAGTACATCCACTCAAATCAAACAAATATTTAAAACTAGCCAAGTGAAATTATAGATCCTTTTTCTGGTTTCTAAACCATCGTTCTGCCAATTTCTTTTCATTTATATTAAAAGTATATTTCTTTTTATTACAGTTATAGTACCTAATATAGTAATAAAAAGTGTGATATCAAAGGAACCCGGCACGCCTCTTTGGTGTTTACATTTCACGGAAACCCAACCCAAATGTCTTATGAACACATTTTGGCTTCATAGAACTCATTTTATTGTTTGCGTAAAAGTTTTTGTTATTTTCGGATTAAATTTCACAATAAATTTTGGGTCTATCTGAACATATATTAACTGAAATAATTTTAGTGTAAGTGTCAAACTAACAGTAAATCCATTTTATTGGAATACTGTTTAGACCAATTTACTTTCATACTTCTACTTGCACAGTAAAATATTCGTTGTCGTAATAATCCAAAACAGTCGTATATTCGTGGAATAACCTATATCACTAATTTACGCACACCTGTTATGAGAAAGGGTCTAGGAACTACAGAAGCATTATACGAAGTCAACGTTCTGATACAAAGATGTCTGGATATGCGTCAGGATATATATGCTTGATTCATAGATTTTAAAAAAGCTTTTGACAGAGTTCAACATAAAAAGCTTTTAAGTATTCTTAAGATCAAAAACATAGATAGTAGAGATCTACAAATTATATTGTATCTGTATCAAAATCAGAAAGCAAGAATGAGAGTCGAAGGAGAACTGACAGACGAAGTAAGTATACTTAGAGGAGTTCGACAAGGGTGCATACTTTCACCACTCTTATTCAACGTCTGCAGTAAAGTGATGTTTCAAGAAGCTTTATTGGATATAGTGGAAGGTATTCTCCATATAACATATGGAGAAGCAAATAATCTTTTTAACAATTTAAACCCTGAACTCTCTCCTATAAGTAAATCAACAGTTTTCAGAATAATAAAAAAATTTGATGAAACTGGTAGTGTAAAAGATCTTCTAAGGTCTGGTAGATCAAAAACACCAACTAATGACGATAAAACTTTAGATAGATATCATATTAAACTTTTGGGAGAATACTAAAGTGTCGATGAGTGAACAGATGATTTGGATCTTCGATTTGAATTTTGTGAAACGATAACAGAGAAAATAGCCACATTCTGTTTAAACGGTTATGTAAACAGGCATAATAGTCAATACTGGTCAGATTGTAATCCGCACTGGATGGAGAAAATTCATACAAAATAACCATAAAAATTAATGTCTGGGCTGGTTTGGTAAAAAAACCGCTTAAGTGGTTCTTTTTTATTGAAAGTAAGCTGTATTTGATCGGAGTCAAATATCTTGACCTTCAAAATCAAATTATACCTGAAATCAATCGTTTGTTTCTAATCGTGAATGTATATTTTTAACAAGATGGTCCACCTTCACATTATCAAAGGGACGTTCGGCAATATTTAAATACAATTTTATCTTAGAGATGGATTGGTCGAAGACCTATGATAGAGTGGCCGGCAAGATCATCCTATTTGACACCACTTGATTTTTTTTCTGTGGGGTTACTTAAAAAACCGCGTTCATATTAACAGACCAACTAATCTAAATGATTGAAAGATCTTTTCTACGTCGTGAAATGCAGTTAATTACTGTAGAAGTGACTAACAATTCTATTTGCAGCTTTCTTGATAGATTTAATCATTGTCAACAAATAAATGGACAACACTTTGAACGCTTACTGTAAAGAGACAATTGTAAATTATTTTAATTGTATACCAGTGTTACTAGTTTTAAAATATCATCATCATCATCATCATCATCCAGCCGAATTTTCACATCCATTGTGGGATATATTCCTCCTCCAAACGTCTCCAGTTCTCTCTATCTCTAGCTGCTGCAATCCAGTTTGTTTCTATTCTCTTTAGGTCGTCGGTCCATCGGGTGGGTGGTCTGCCTCGACTTCGCTTGTCGTTTTTATTTTCGCTGCCTCATTTAAAATATCAAGTGTATAAAATTACATGTTTAATATTTTTAACAAAATGTCTTTAATTTTAATTATCTATTATTGCGTCAAGTTACTGTCAATTTGAAAAGTGGATGAAATAAGTTTTTCTGTGACGTGTCACTCAACCTATGAAACAATGACAATATACAAACTTGAATATATTGTAAAACATGCAATGTAATAATTCATTTAGTATCCCAAAATTGCGTAATTTAAAGTTAATTTGTTTCAAAGATAAAGACTTTTTTTTAATTCTGTAAAAATAAATAAATAATGACAGAGAAAAGAAAATTTAACTTATTTGTCTATCTAATATTTTAAGATTGGTAAAGTTTGTTCACAATTACAAGAACTAACTTATGCAGAATTTAAACGTATCCTGCTGATAAAGTCGAAGCCACAAAGGGATTTGCCTCTTCAGGTAAATAGTAAAAGTGGCAGTCTTAACGAATTTTATACTTTATTTGGCATTTACATTACATATTTAATTTAAATAAGTATCTAGGTAATTAATGGAAAAATACATAAACTGATGGAGTATTAGAATTATCTATTATATTTTTCTGTGTCGATTCTTTATTAAATATATCAAAATTTTTAAAGTAATAAACAATTTTTGTTGTGTTATGCAAATTTCAGATGAAATAATTACACAATGAAGTGAAAATTAAAATGAATTAATGTTATATATATATATATATATATATATATATATATATATATATATATATATATATATAGCTATAACATATATAGAACAGAACACGTAGATAAATTATTTTTAAAATAAATTAGTAGTAATAAAGACATTGATAAATTTGTGAGTGTTATAAGTATAGAACATTTAACAAATAAGAACAATAAATTAGAATTAATAAAGATGTTATATTATTCAGATATACCTATATTTCTTCCTCACAATATTCTCCGTTTAGAGGATTTCGACTTTTCGTCTCCATCGACGACGTCCACATAAAGTCTCCAGTGTAATTTGGCATAAACTAATAGATAAACAATTTCGTAAACAATAAAGTATAATTTTTTTATTAATTTTTAATATTCAGAAAGTAAGTAGAATCAAAACAATGTATACTTATATATAATTAATGACTTCTACGTTCACACCTTTGATCTAACCCTAAAATGCCTAAAAATACCCTAAAAACACGAGATAAATGATCACTTACTCTTCTTCCGTTTTATCTATCTTCGGGAAATTAAACCCCATTTTCAATTTCATGGGCCATTTAAAAGCAGAGATATCAAAACCGCAAATCCAACGATGCCCTTTATGAACTTGTGCATTATCATTCTATGCAGGAAACTATCAGACTTCCGTCTTTGTTCTCGCTTCTATTGCAGTTGCGGCCACCAGTTCGCGTTTGTTTTAATAAAAATACACTAAAGGGATATTTGTACCTGGTTTTTACAATAAAATTTTAAGCGTAAGGGAATTTATGTTCCGATATCGTATCTAGATTAGATTTCCATTCTAAATCGATATGTAAGTTATCGCACAATCGGAGCTATTGAATACATTTAAGAATAAACACTGTTTTTTAAATAAATAAAGAAAGTAGAAACCCGAAGATTTCCATGGACGAAACCAAAATTCAGATTTTTGCTTTAATCTGTGCCTTCTATGAATTGCAAGGCCAAACAAATAATGAAAAAAGATGTAAGAGAGATATGGAGAATCTAAAAGTTGCATTACACAACATATCTTCTCATGTAAGCAAATATACTTGGCGAATTGGTTTCTTGTACTCATAAAGAGTAAACCGAAATAAAAGAGAAGACAGTTAATATTTGATT